ACTACCAATTTCGCGATTCGTTGATAATTGGAAACCGCTAATGGGATAGAACTCGCTCGCTCGCTCGCTCGCTTGCTTACAGAGTAGGAATAATAATAACTATACATTTAATTGTAAATCGTCGGGTGCGGCCCCGTCTCGCTGATAAACGAATTCGAAATTATTCTAATACATCTAATACATCGATCGGACTAGAACGGAAATACGCATTAATATTATATATATATAAAATATTTTACATATATAATATTATATACAATATGATATAATATAATATATATAATATGATATAGTATAATATATTATATGTAATATGATATAATATATTATATAATATATAATATAATATAATATATATAATATGATATAGTATAATATATTATATATAATATGATATATAAAAAAAATATTTCATATATATATAAAAATAATAATAAACGAATTGTACAATCAACAAACGAAATTCGTTCGACGAGTAATCAAACTAAATCGTTCACGCTTAACTTACACTTGTATTTAGAATATTTATACACACGTTCCTCTGATTCGTTTCTAATTTTTTCCTTTTCTCCCTCTAATATCATTTAATCGAAATCTAATCGCTAAAACCCTAGAACGCTTCAACGTCTCGTATAAACGCCGCTTCAACATTCTGTACAAGTCGAAACTTAGAGATCTCGTTAACCCTTTGGCGTACCATTTTTCCCTAAACTCGTGTAACATTTTATCAACAATTTGGAAGAAACGCAACAAAACCGTGTCTACTATCCTTCAAGTGAAAATTTCATTTGAATATATTGATAATAGGAAAATAGTGTGCTTTTGATCCATGAGTAATGAGCAACATTGTTCAACACATTGCACGCCGGCCCCACGATAATTATTTTTAGTCTATCGTTTAATTGCTAGTCCCACATCAATGTAACATTCTAGATATAACAAATCCAAAGTGAAATTACAAAATCGAATTCCTTATTCTATTTCGTAGTTACAAATTTCGGTTTGATGTTTAAAAATATATCAATATAATCAGACACTCGCGTTTCCAGTAGCTGAAATTTAGCCGGCGTACAATGCGTTAAATTAGTCTAGAAATCATCATGAGTCTCGTACAGCAAGGGGTTAATGATAGGAATTGTACCGAACGTTGAGATCCTCTTCTGTACACAAGTGCATCAACGGAAAACGAATGCTATAAAATAATCGTAACAGAAGTCGGGTTGACGCGACAATGTTGACAATTCTTCTGTACCTGGTTAACAAATCATTGTTCCTTATGAAACAAGTAACGTCTACAGAGGACACTTTTTCTTTCTATTTAACACTAGAACTACCAGTCAATATGACTGATTTTTTAGCAATTATTGATAACTTCGAGGCATTGAATATTCGAAATGATTTTGAAAGTAAATAGTTTCACTAGAATACTATAATGAATGTCTAAAGAAACTGAAAATAATCTATTCTTCCAATTTTTATAGGAATTACATATTAATCGTATTAACCCTTAGCACTCCAAATGATTTTGTAATCTACCAACAACTCCAATCCGTTTTTATAGTATCCCTGGCACAAATGAAAAATGTTATATTCTAACATCTCTTAGGTTTCTTTGTTTTCCTTCTTAATAGAAAATTTGGATGTATAGAAGATCCAATAATCTTAGGATAGTTCTTCTAAACTTATTCATTAAAATATTTAATAGCACAAATGGTGCCATTGGAGCCTACAGAGTGCAAAGAGTCAAATACTCGGTAGTTCTAGTATTAAGTTCTCGTTTAGCCAGCGAACAGTCGAGAGTTCTTTTTACATGTTATAAAAATTATACATGTTAAAAGGAACGTCAAGAGTCTCGCGTCAACCCGACCCAACCGCCTGGCTATTTACACTATCGTATAAATGGAACCGAAACGATCTGTACATACAATATATAATCAGTCGCACACAATTAAAAGCTAGCCTGAGACCGGTGAAGTTATATAATACAATCGATAAAAACGATAAAATCGCTATCTCACGCCCGTTATCGCGAAAATACCATCAACCCCGGATCGAAGAAACAAGCTTTTTACATTCCCGCCGCGGCGTTTCTTCGCGGATTTCAGTGTTATCCAGAAGTTTGTGTTCCGTCGTATCAAAACTCTCAACTTAAGAGATGTATATCGCAGAAGCTGACGCACGCCGTCGATTCGGTGTCAACGCATCTTAGACGAGCTACCGTTCGGATAACGATGAGATATTTAGGCACTCCGTTGATGTGGATCCGTGGCAATAACGATTGACAGAGGATTACCTTAGATATGGTCATTGAATTTTGATAAAACGAATCGCTCGGCGCCGGTTCTGTTAAGGATCGTCGACCATTTGAATTGTAACTTGTTTTTCTTTACAGTAGAACCACCGAGTGAAATGGTTTTTTGAAATTTGATAGACTTGAACAGTTTGTCTATTGAAATTTCAGTTGATTTGCAATTCCATCTTACTAAATCAATTTCTTTAGCTTCTCTGGGAAGTATTTATGGAATTGTAACTTTCCCTGCTGTGACAATTGTGCAATGTTCACTATTGTTTTACATTAGAACCACTGAGTGAGATGGTTTTTTGAAATTTGATAGACTTGAACAGTTCATCTATTGAAATTTCAATTGATTTACAGTTCCATCTTACTTAATCAATTTCTTTAGCTTCTCTGGGAAGCATTCATCTTTGAAATGATTGCAGAAAGAAGTTAGGAATAGATGATTATAGTCTGCTGGTCCTAGTGTTGATTAGAATTGATATGAATCCTTAACAGCACCATTTCATTCAAACAGTATTTCAATGAGACTGGCGATTCGGATCAGAATGTTTCACATACACGTTTAACGGTGTGCTAACATTAAAATAGAGAAATGATAAATTACATTACGGTACATATTTGGAATGTGTAAGAACAATTAACTCGATTAAGTTAATTCCTATCGCACACTTATCGTCGCCTCCATGGTTCTCGTACAAAAAGTTCCTTTCTGTGTCTGCTTCGAATTTCCTTCGTTTCTTTTCACTCTCTTTGTTGTTGTTGTTGTTGTCATTGTTGTTGTTGTTATTGTTGTTGTGTCTCGTTAATTACTACGTATAAGTAATAAGATAGATCTCCGAAAAATCTGACAATATTATTCACGTGCGACACCCATTAAAACGGACATTGTAAACAATTTATATATACTATCTTGTAAATATTTTATATTGCTATCGTCGGAACGTTCGCCGTTCCATTCACGCGACGCGATAATGAATTATATGTAACAATCAATGTTAATCAAATCTTACAGGATTAAAGTGTAAAGTTACATAGACATAGATGGATGTCTCCCGAAGAATGCAAGCGTGGCACTTAGACAAGTGAATTTATACTCGTAAGTACGAAAAGAACAGATTATACGGCCAACAGTAATATATGCAATTGAAATTGTCTATCGTAATCTTATTACGCATCTCGTTTGATTCTCTTTCACAATTGAAATCATTAAACATAGCCTCCCCAGACGATACAGTTAGAAGATCACTCGATAACAAATATAACAGCATTAAAGATGTCTTTCTAATTTACAATTTCATCATTTTAATTGGTGTAACCATATTAACCCTTCGCACTCGACAATATCTCTCATTACATTCATTATTTTCTGATGAAATGTTAAACTTGCAACTTACATAGAAACATCTTGCATCAATTATGCAGAATTATCAATTATTTGTTTCATGTGTTACCTTATTCAACATTTTATATTGAATTCGCTTCATCATTTTCCGGCAATCATTGCACTTGCGTGGCTGAGAGTCGCCTCTCGAGTGCAAAGGGTTAACAAATTAAAAATTAGAAAATAGAACCAACAGAAATGTAGATTTAAAAAAAAATGAATTCTTCAGTGTAGTCATCGAGTGATCTTCTATCAGTACGTGTGCCGTTTCGTATCAGCAACATTTTCAACATTTCCATCTCGTGATCTTTCCAAAGTGGTTCCGGGCTGTTCGCGTATAATACAGAGTCCCTTGAAAACGCGTTAGCAAAAGGTTGCGACGATATTGCAGTTCGCCCTTCCCTCGTGTGTACGTGTATGCGTGTGTACGTGTATTTCTACGACGCTTAAAAGCTACAAAGTACAAACGATTATAATAAATAATATCATTAGAAAGTACACCATATAATAAATTCGTAGAACTGACTGTCATGGTTCTTTCTCCTTTTTTACAAAAGTATGTAACCGTTGTGTACTGTTCTCCGGTACGATTGGAATTTAGTTAACGTATAAATTGGCTAAGAAATTCAACCAATTGTCGTTAGTCTCCCGCCTCATAGGATCCACGATGTTCAAATAACTAAAACAACGCTCGGGAACGAATGTCAACGTATCCAAGTTTTTAATGATCACGTCACGAGTACATGGAAACCATAGATATTTACAATGAGGTATAAATTATTATTAATCTCCGATGACGAAAAAGAACTTGCATGTTTTTCTTTCCTCTCTCTCTTTTTAAAAAAGAAAAAAAATAAAGTACTTGTGCATGTTGTTCTACCGGCGTTTCATGCTTGGAGGAATAGAAGATACAGAAAATGATGACAACGGGAGGACACGCATATACTTACGTCGTAGAACAGTCTTTTACGATAGATGAATTCAAGTGTCCGTGTAAGTTCATCGACAGTGTATGAAATCATTTGCGGCACGCAAAATTGAATCTGTGTATGCAAAGATCACCGCCCTCCTACCGGGACAAATTCACTTCCAACGATTCTGCGTTAAACTCACTTTAGTAGCCTAGTGCTTCAGGCAGAAATGATATGACACACTTTTCTCTCTTTTAGCCTCTGACAGCTGGATCGTATGCGTCGCCCAAGACAGTTCATTGATCGTTAGGAAATATTCTAGATATACTGGAAGTTGTCCTTCGTGGCGAGCAGCGGCAACTTCTCGATGCTCTGTTTGTGGTGGAAACTGTGCAGCCAGTCCGAGCTCGGCTTCGCCTTCACCCCGCAGAAGCTTATGTTACAAAAATCGGCTGCGTTCTGAAGGGCGCCGCGGTGGAAGGGATTCCCCTGCTTGAAGTGCGTGTAACGTCCAGCGTTCATGCGCTCATTCGTTGTCATACCGAGGACCATAATCTGATTTTAACAGAAAACATCAAGATATATATTAGTAAATATAATAAATACTATAATTATTCAAATGTAAAACTTATTTGAACACGTTGACACTGGACATTGGATATTAACCCTTTGAACTCTAGGCTCCAATATTACCAGTTATAGTATTGAATATTTTAATGAATCTTAAAGAAACTACCCTACAATTATTAGATTTTTCATCCAAACTTTGTACTAAGGAAAATAAAAGATCTGAGAAATGTTACAGCATTTTCCATTTTTGCTAGGGATACAAAAATTAGTTGCTGATAGATTACAGAATCATCCTGAGTGCTAAGGGTTAATAATATATGGGATATATAATAATTGACACCATACAGAAAAAAACTGAAATTACAACGCCGGCGTCAACGTGTTGACATGTGTTTACTTTGATCTATAAGAACTTGTTATACCTGATAACACTGACACGCCAACAATGTGCCAACCCAGAAGAAGTGCAGGGATGTGTTTGCCGTTACCCACATTACCCAAGCGTCACAGGTAGCCGCGGCGACGAGATAGTTGTCAGCGCTGTGCCCGTTTGTTAAGTTTGTCCAGCATTCGAACTGCCAATACTGTACACTAGCGGATAAAACAACGATACAGAGGCCTAACAGTGACGCTAAGAACCCCAGGAAATATTTGTGGTTGTGCGCACCTACAACAATTTTGCAAGAAAGTTGGAAGCGTTAAAAATGTTGCATTGATATGATTATACTGTTCAGATCCAATCGCGAGGAGATAAGATTGTCTGGAGCAGTGTTTCCCAACCATTTTTGTGCCCCACGTAAGTCTTTCTAAAACTCTTATGTTCTATGTAACATATATAATTTTTAATATTGTATTATGTTTTTATATTTTACTTGATATTTCAAGTTTCAGATTGCCCCCTTAATAATCAAATTGCCACCGTGTGGAGCGATGGACACACGTTGAGAAACACTGGTCCAGAGAGTTAAAGGACGTTATGCAAGGTGTAGTGCGCGAACATGTTGCAAACACAATAAACTCGTTATTCTACTGTCCCACTGTTCTTTGCTTACCAATACAGTTATTGACCCATGGGCAATGATGATCAAAACGTGCCACGCATCGGTCGCATGTCGAACAATGCTTGGATCTCATGGGTCTTCTGACCAGGCAACTGCTACAAAATGATTGCGGCTCGAAACCACCGGATTCCGCTAATTCTATAATTGTCTGAAAAACGTACAACTTATAATTTTACAAAGGAAATGTATTCTTCCTCGGTATCGAAACGCTTACATTTATTTTGTCCTCGTGTGTTGCTGTGATCACACCAGGGTCACCCCTCCAAGACTGTAAAAAACATATCCACAACGGTACCGACCCGCCTACCAATAGAAACCATAAATACCATGCAGCATGTATGCCTAACCAAAATATCCATGTAATGTATATCCACATCTGCAACAAAGAACAATGATCATGGAGCAACGTGGAATTTGTGTACACGTGGAACAACAAACATCATGCAGACAATACTAAATCTGTACATTTTTTTTGATAATATCGATTGAAAAAATCACTACGTTCCTTGGTGTACGTTATCTGAGACCCGTCTCTCGTGATAAGACAGTTTTATTATCTGTCCGATATATGAAAGTTAATGCCTGATCCAATTAAACGATTTTTCTACCAAGTTGGCTGTATATGTACATTAAGTGTGTATCGTACACGCAAACTCACCTTCGTGGCCAAGTAAATTGACATCGGTATAATATGAAACAATCGTTCGTCAAAAATAAAATGATTAGCTAAATACAACGCTATGTAAAGAGTGACAAAGGCACCTAATTTTACTAGATAATCCAATCCACTTTGAAAAATCATTCCAATTAGATAAAAAACTATAAACGGTGTACTGACCACACAGTACCAACGCATTCTCTGGAAGAAGAAATATTATGAATATAGGAAAGAAAAAAAAAAATATCTACTTGTGGACACGATGAAACCCGTACCTTATCTCTACACCATGTCCTCGATCTGCCCTGTTTCTCTCGGATCTCTTGGCTGATCTTATGCCCCAACCAGGCAGCCCCAATGTGACGACCTAACAACGTCATCGGCGTCTCGTCCCGTATATTGGGCACATCCAAAGACGCGCCATGGTGGACCAACGTGGATATTGCTGTACTGTTCTCGGCTATAATGGCCCAGTGCAAAGCTGTGTTCCTATGAAAATTATCTGCTAGCGAGTGAGACGCTCCGAGTGTCAATAATAATCGCGTCGGATCTAGACTGTAAAAGGAAAGACTTCAGAGTAATGGATACAATATAATTCCACGGAGGGATATCTAAAAAGTATGTAATCCTATTGTGTTGTCGCATGTACCTATTTACTTTGTAAGCACTCCACATAAGAGGTGTCATCGCGCTTCTATCTGGCATATTAGGATTCACTCCCTTTGCGACTAGATAAGCAACAATTGATGTATGACCGAATTGCGCTGCTAAATGAATACAGGAGAATCCTTCTGAATCTCTGAGAGTTGGATCGGCACCTGCTCTCATTAATATTACTACTGTAGACAAATGACCTTGCCTGGAAATGGGCCATGTTTGTTCGTTAGCATAGCCGTACTTAAAAGACCTGTGAGATACAACACATGGTCAGAGTTTACCTTGTAGCCCAATGCAACGGTGTGGAGTCCAGTTCTCCGCCAATTGCATCAACAACAGCTCCCTTTGCAATAAGGTATTTTACAATATCTTTACGATTATTTATAGCAGCCCAATGTAATAGTGTTACAGTTTCCGAATCCGGTTGATTTACATCTGCACCGGCTTCTACTAATTCAGTTACACGATCCAGTGCTCCATACTGAGAAAAAGAAATGGTTCCAACAGTAATTGCATTGAACAGAAATTTATAAGATAAATATTTCACAAGTCCTCGTTTACCTGTGTTGCTCTAACAATATCAAATGAGCTACAATCTTGTGCTGGAGGTCGAACAGGTTCTTGATGATGACTAGTAGAATCATCAGGTTCCCCACTGCCTTCACTTTGGCAGGCAGCTTGCATTTTTAACGCATACATCTTGAATTTATTTTTATTCACTTCAAGATCAAGTCATAGATCCAGGAAAGTATTATCTATGCGAATAAATACTTCAGAACAGCTCAATATTGATGAGGTATTACTGGAAGAATAATAAATTATATACAATAACTCATAAACACATCAAGTATCATCAATAATTTCTTTCCTCTATTAAAACCTCCCATAAGTTACAAATCAAATAAAAATCTCATTAAATCTGTTTCGAAATATTCTGTTTTGCATACCTGTAAACACTATACGAATATAAAACCTGTACTGTAATCGACTAACAGAAACATTCATTTTTTCACAGAGACTCATTCGAATGGCACAAAAACTACAGTCAAAACTGCCAATATTTTTGTTGTCACTGTCTAAAACAATTCCATCCACGATACCGATAAATACTCCAAATACCTCCTAACACCGTTACAACCGTTTCACGATGACTAGTTGTTAATATCATTCACGCGAACGTATTCCATCCGGCGATTAACATTGCTCAATTTGGCCGGCAATAATCAATCAGTCGTTTGTATTCGAAAGGCACAACCGGGTTGTAAATATGATGTGTACCACGAACAGTACACCGAGCATAATGACAATCGATTCAATATTCAACTCAGCGCGAACGATAAATATTCCTAATAAAAATCTCCGCTATCCTCTCGTTCCCGATCAAATAAATACCGTTTGCAAAAAAACTCTCTCCGGTCGTTACGCCTATGGTTACAACATTGAAAAACGACATGGCCTCTGTGCGATTACCTAAACGTTAAAGCGTTAATCCCGGGTTATTTCGCGATAGATGAAAATCGTCGCACGATTCTCGAACGTATCCGCGAAAACGAGTTTACGGTATAATCAGTATCTTACCTGACACGCAATGACAGTGCTGATTACATTCATACATAGTACGATAGCGGCGTGCGTGTTACCCTCGAATGCCTCTTAAGGGGGTTAGATTTAAAGGACAAATAGTCGGCGGGGGTGGGGCGCCGGTACATCGCATAGAATCCGGACAAAGTTTGACCTTTTCCCTCGGCTATGGAAATAACACCCTCCTGCGACTATTCCCTCGTCACGTCAATCCAGGGTAACACCGTTTCCTTCCTGTTCGTAGCACAGTCTCATCGCTAATTAATGGTGTTTACTAGTTGCCTAATTAATTCGTTAAACGTCCACTGCGTACCGCACTGACGCACGATATGCCGTTCGCGTCGTCGACATACACATTATGCTTTGCCGAGTTCGCGAGCTATTTCTTATTGACCAAACGGCTTTGCAAGCCGCCCGATCGGTATCCGATACTCATCGAACGAACGCGATGCGGCGATTGTGGCGACACGTTTCGAACTCGTTTCTAGAGGGCTACCAGCTGAACTCACGCTCCTCGGAGTTCTCCGTCTATTTTGTTTACCGGCAGCGAACGGGCGATTTTGTTTGACACAAATTATTGGTAAATTATTATTATTATTCAGAATTATTATGAATTATATATAATTGAATGCAACTACGAGGGTTAAAGTGCATGAGCATTCCAAAAGTGATGGCTATATAGAATTGAGTTAATGACAATGTGACTTATACATTTTAATTTATAGCATTCATAACATTTTGCATTACAATGAAGATGAATGCTATAATATTCACGTCCATGAACGTTAATTAGTAAAATAATTGAATATAAGGGTGGAACGTGTTTTCGACTGCAGACTGTGAATTCTAGAGTAATTAGGTCTTTTTTTATTGATCAGATATAATTGGAGTACTCTCTGAAATAGGAGTAGAAAATGAAAGAAATGAAATTAAGAGAAGGAAAAATTCAGAAATTGAGTTGTAATGGAAAAAGAATGTATGATAATGTTGTATTTGAAATTGACACGTGGAACATATTTGTGGTGCCATCTATGACAATGTGCCAACACTTGTGCAATTAGCATCGGATTTCAGACGCTGGATGGCACTGTCAGATTGTTTGGTTTCATTTTAGAGCGCAGGAGTTAAATATTAAAATACTTTTCGCGCCATTATTGCAGGATTTACTCGTAACGTGCTTAAGTTAATTATTGTCGTATGACTTGTGTAACATTGGGAATTTGACACGACAAAATGAATAGGAAAACGTTCGCTGGCCCGTCCGCTGCGAAAAAGACGAAATTCCGGTAAATCTCTACAGTATTTGTTGATAGTTAGATTTTAACCTTATTCCGTAGTAACATTAATCTTAATATATTTAAATGAATATTTCGGAGTGTATTTTTAAAATGATTTATATTTTACACTTACACTCTGTAGATTGGAGTACGGATATTTTTGTTTCAATTTTTCTTGATGACTGTTTTCTTTTGAATATTTGAACATCGTTTTTTTTGGTATTAAATATATTTTGGATTTACGAATTGAATTGTTAACAGAAACGATGATGATGATGATGATTTTGGTGGAACATTTGAAAATGATTTGGCCAACATGGATGAGATGGATGATGAGTTTGGAGAAGTATCACATATTCTTGAAGAGGTATATATAATTCTTATTTTCTAATAGATTCTATTAATTGACATGTATCTTCTTATAGGACTTAAGAAACAGAATTTAATAATGATTAGCATTTCATAATTCTAGCCAGCTGTGGTACAATTAAATAATGAACCAAAAGCAGTGAGTTAATGGCTGTGATAAAAATCATTTATATTCTAATGTATGCTTAAAAAGCACAGTGAAGTTATTAATCAGAAACATTAATCATTTAACTTTAACATAAATTATCATAGATCGCACTCATTAGGTATTTTATAATTTTCACATGTGTGTATTTGATTCACGTATATAGTAATTTAATATTACATTCAATAGATCGCTTTATTATGTTACTTTCACAGCTTAATGCATTATGTTTGAAAAAATGTATTTGTTTTACATGTACTTACTGCTTTTTTATGTTACATATATTTTAAGCAAATACTAAAATGCTAATAAAATATTTAACTGTCGAATACATTTGCTAATTAATTTATTTTGAATAGGGTCCTGAACAAGAAAATACATCTGCAAAGTGGAGTAGACCACCTCCACCAGAATTCAATCCACAAAAGGATTCATTAATTTTTCAACAAATAGAGATTGACCATTATACAGGTAAAATTATTGCTGGCATCTATACGTAGAAGTACGGTTTTCAGCATGCACTCAAATTTTGATACTAATACAAAATTGTTCCTTTAGGTACACCATTGGCTGGAATGCCAGGCAGCAAAATGGGCCCTGTATCAATAATGAGGATGTATGGTATCACAGAACTAGGAAACTCTGTTTGTTGTCATGTTCATGGATTCTGCCCATATTTGTATGTTTCTGCACCTAACAATTTTACAGAAGCTCATTGCAAACCCTTTAAGGTATATATTCATAATCATTGTTTATATAATTTCATTCAACGTGCATAAAACACTTCTCTTCTATTCATGTGTCCCTCAGGATGCACTCGACAAAGCTGTACTGAAAGATATGAGATCGAATCCAGACAATGTTCAAGCAGCTATTCTAGCTGTTGAACGAGTGTACAGGCAAAATATGTACGGTTTCACAGGAAATACCAAATCATTATTTTTAAAAATTACAGTGGCTTTACCAAAATTAATAGCGCCTTGTAAACGATTACTCGAGAAGGAAGTCATCTATTCTGAATTAAATCATACGTACAGTGCCTTTGAAAGCAACATTGATTTTGATATTAGGTATGTAACAAATTATAAAAATAACTTTTTATATATTTGAAGAAACAATATTTATATATTTTTGTCTATTAGATTTATGGTCGATACATCAGTGGTAGGATGTTCATGGATAGAATTGCCTCCAAAAAGTTGGAAATTACGTGGTCATCAGGGACATAATTTGCCACTGACTACAAGATGTCAGTTAGAGGTGGATGTTGCATGGGATGCTTTCATTGCTCATGAACCAGAGGGTGAATGGTCGAAAGTTGCTCCATTTAGAATACTCAGTTTTGATATCGAATGCGCTGGACGCAAAGGTAATGTTAATATTGTCGTCTCCAATTTATACTTAATCAAGTATACTTTACATCGTGTGGATTTTATTTCTCCAGGAATCTTCCCTGAGCCAAATCATGATCCCGTTATACAAATCGCTAACATGGTAATAAGGCAAGGAGAACCAGAACCTTTCCTGCGAAATATTTTTACACTTGATGTATGTGCACCTATTGTTGGTTCCCAAGTTTTAAGTTTTGAAAAAGAGAGCACAATGTTGGAGGTACGTGTACCTTTATCAATACATCAGTTACCTGAAACAGAAATCAGTATACGTATCTTATTTCATTTTATTTCTCTAGAAATGGTCTGACTTCGTAAGACAGTTAGATCCTGATATTTTTACAGGATATAACATAAACAATTTCGATTTCCCTTATCTCATTAATCGGGCTCAACACTTGAATGTGAAAAATTTTAATTTCCTTGGTCGAATAAAGAACATAAAGTCGGTAATTAAGACTCAGATGCTTCAGAGTAAGCAAATGGGTCGACGTGAAAATAAGTCGATTAATTTTGAAGGAAGAGTTCCTTTCGATTTATTATTGGTAAGTGCAATTATCATATTAATTTCAATAGCAATGCATAATAGTATATAAAAACATGATACAACGATTTCTTCATATATAGGTGCTGGTCAGAGATTACAAATTAAGATCATACACGTTGAATGCAGTCTCTTACCACTTTCTACAAGAACAGAAGGAAGATGTTCATCACAGTATAATCACAGATTTACAAAACGGCAATCCACAGACACGTCGAAGGCTTGCTGTTTATTGTTTAAAGGATGCATACTTGCCTTTGAGATTATTGGATAAATTGATGTGTATCATCATTTATATGGAAATGGCAAGAGTCACCGGAGTTTCCATTTATAGTTTACTAACCAGAGGACAACAGATCAAAGTAGTTTCTCAGATACTGAGAAAGGTCTGACGAAAAGAACATTTTATTTGTAAATATAAATACAAACTATTAAGTCTAATTACAACCCTCCGATTCCAGATTAAAGAGAAAGATTACTTAATGCCAGTTCACCATGGCCAAAGCAGCGAGGAACAGTTTGAGGGTGCAACAGTTATAGAGCCAAAGCGTGGCTATTATAATGATCCCATAGCTACTCTGGATTTCAGTTCCCTATATCCCAGTATTATTATGGCGCACAATTTGTGCTACACGACCCTGATGAATGCGGAGAGACAAGCGAAATATAAAGTTAATGCCAATGACATAACAAAAACACCAAGTAATTCCTCATTCGTCAAGGCCAATGTCAGAAAAGGATTGCTTCCTGAAATTTTGGAGCATCTCTTATCAGCCAGGAAGAAGGCTAAAGCTGAACTAAAGAAAGAAACTGATCCATTGAAGCAGAAAGTCCTAGATGGTAGACAGTACGCTTTGAAAGTCTCAGCAAACTCTGTGTACGGTTTCACCGGTGCACAAATGGGGAAGTTACCTTGTTTAGAAATATCTGCTGTAAGTTTGTACAAATATGTATATATATATATATATTCTATCTCAAAATCACTTTAACAGTAAACTATCAAAACCTGTTACAGAGCGTCACTGCCTACGGGCGAATGATGATAGAGCACACAAAGCGGGAGGTGGAGCAACAATATTGTGTAGCAAACGGATACAAAAATGATGCTATAGTCATATACGGAGACACTGATTCTGTGATGATCAAATTTGGCGTGAAGACACTGGAAGAGGCTATGGAGCTCGGAAGGGAAGCTGCAGAGTTTGTGACGTCCAAGTTCCTGAAACCCATAAAGTTAGAATTTGAGAAAGTCTACTTCCCGTACTTGTTAATTAACAAGAAACGATACGCTGGCCTGTATTTCACGAAGCCTGACAAATACGACAAAATGGACTGCAAGGGCCTTGAAACTGTCAGGAGAGACAACTGCCCTTTAGTAGCAAACATGATGAACACCTGTTTACAGAAGTTACTCATCGATAGGTAATTAAATGTCACTTAAAATACTGTGTATTCTACAGGCATTATCGATTCTTTTTTAACAGGAATCCCAAAGACGCCGTGGATTATGCGAAACAAATCATAAGTGACCTCCTACGGAATCGCATCGACATATCTCAGTTAGTGGTCACAAAGGAATTAACTAAAACCGATTACGCGGCGAAACAAGCGCACGTCGAGCTAGCCGCGAAAATGAAGAAACGGGACGCGGGAACCGCGCCGAAACTCGGCGACAGAGTTCCGTACGTGTTCATAAGAGCAGCGAAAGGAACTCCAGCCTACCAGAAAGCAGAGGATCCAATCTATGTGCTGGAAAACAATATTCCCATAGACACGAATTATTATTTAGAGAACCAACTGTCGAAACCTCTCGTGCGTATCTTCGAGCCGATACTTGGCGACAAAGCTGAGTCGCTTCTTCTGAAAGGAGACCATACGCGCACGAAGTCGGTGGCCACGTCCAGAGTCGGTGCTCTGTCTGCCTTCACTCGTAAGAAGGAAGTTTGCTTAGGTTGCAAAGCTGTTCTAACGCCGGAGCGAGAAAAAATGGCTCTGTGCAAATACTGCGAACCCAGAGAGGCAGAGTTCTATCAGACTGAATTATATCTTGGCAGACAACTGGAGGAGAAATTCTGCAGGTTGTGGACCGAGTGCCAGAGGTGTCAGGGGAGTCTTCATCAGGAAGTATTGTGCACAAGGTTTGTTACAATTTTGTTTGTAGTAGTATAATTAACAGTTGTTTTTCTTATGTGAGAAATTGACGTTAGAGGACATAGATTTATGATTAATTTTATTATGATTTCAGTCGTGACTGTCCTATATTCTATATGAGAAAGAAAGTACAAATGGAATTAGATACTCAAATGAAACGTGTCGAGAGATTCGGAGTTCCAGAGTGGTAATGTTGCAGATGTCAGAAGACATGTTGCACAGGTATATTTGTAATCGTCGTATATGTAGTTATTCTGTGCATTTATTGATATATTTGTTCCTTCGTTTGAAAAATATTGACTGCGATTTTTTATTTCTCTACATTTGAATACAATGAACATGTACAATATTAAATAAGAGTATCGGATATATCAAAATTTTCATAAAATATGTAATTTGTTTATAAGAATTTGTACAGATTATTGATAGAACGTTTCTGCGCGATGTATATGTCTATTCTATATGTATATGTATATATATACCTTGTTTCTTTAAATAATTGAAATGGCTGGTCAAATACAATTGATGCTTGGAACATTGATTATGAAACGGTATCTATATTTACTTTAAATACATAAATTATCAAATCTCCAATACACTGTTCGGTAATTGCATGTGATCAATATACTTAAATATTATTTATTATTATTTGGTATATAAACTGAAATAATTAAGATTACATATGGTTTCAGTTTCAACAGAAATTGACAATGTTTTATTTTGATGGGAAATTATTTTCAAATGAATGCGTGTCAGAATATTAACTTCATTTCTATGGGGCAGCATTAGTTTCTATTCTTAAAATCAGTATAACAAATTCATAAACATTATTCACAATATCGTGTTTCAATTTTAAATCGTGTTTCTTCGTTTCTATGGTATTTCGATTTATATAAAAGAATTTTTTACATTTCAGGGTCTTATATTATATAAATGAAATTAAACCAGTTACATATATATGTACATAATTATTCACACACTATGTCAAAATATTGACACATCAAACGATTTCCAATTTCACTGAAATTTCTACAAATGATAGCCTTGATTAGTGTTAATAGTAAAAGTGTTATATTTATACCAATATACACTATGTTTCTCGTTACTAATTATGGTAGCACACTTGCATTTATAGACTTTTTTTTTTCATTATTAAAAATTTGTTGAAATTGTTGTATTATATTGCTTTGCGTTATAACAAAACCCCCTGATTACTTTCGCGGTATAAAAGATGATAAAAGATGAATCGTAGTAGCGATAAAATGTTACATACCGATACAGAGAAAAAAGTATTCAAATCAAAAGATTTTCTAGTTTTTATTACATTTTAAATTACGTAAGAAAGATAAAACTTTTGGTTCGCTTTTATTGTGTTTCACATTATGAAAAGTATGATCAATCTTAGAATAGATTTTCAATGGAAATTGTAAGGCTATTTAAAATACAATAAATAAACATATGAGGCGCCCAGCTCCGCGTGGGTCATTCAAAATGACAGTCGTGTGACTAGTCTTCTCAGTAAGGCTTGGGTAAAAAAATTCTTTAATAATCATAATCATTTTCTACTTTGCAGTGCGTTTGACAGCCAGTCCATCGCTTGATCAAGCCCTTCACCTTTCGTCGCGGATGTTTTAAAGATTTGGAACGTTCTATTTTTCAGGGCATCTAATCCAAGGGCCTGATGAACCTCTGCAACGCTTAAACAACCAGTCATATCTTGCTTGTTTGCTAGGACTACCAGGATGGCACCTTGCAATTCTTCCTCCTAAAAGATAAATACGAGTATAAATTTTTTACACGACTACAATAATTTTAATTCACTAGTTTATAAAAAATTTAGTAAGAAAACATGTAGCATTTCGTATTTAAACTGTGATGATCATACATTGTTATTTATTACATTGTTATAAATCTAGTTAATAATTTTACATTGGTATTAAAAAAGTACTTACTCTCAACATGTGAATTAATTCATCTTTTGATATGCCTATTCTATCTTTATCTGCTGAATCCACGACATAAATTATTGCATCAGTGTTTGAGTAGTAACACCTCCAATATGGTCTATAGAATTAAAGATTAATGTTATAGAGAAAGTATTATGTTAGAACTCATTTTGTATATTAATAATTTTACGTATATTTTCTAACTTACAGTATATATTGCAACTATTATTATATTATTCATTAAGAGACCTTTCACAGACAACATACCGTATACTAGTTTGTCCTCCGAGGTCCCACACTTGAAACTTTAGATTTTTGTATGTAACTTGCTCTACGTTAAACCCTATAGTCGGTATCGTTGTAACCACTTCGCCTACCTGCAATCTGATAAACAAGGGATCACAGAAACTTTATTACGCACAGATCAGAAGTGTCAACGAAATGTCCATTGTACAAAATCAATTCTTAAAAATACGAATTCACATGCATCTCCATCGTCCAGCTAGAACGCTGTCAACATAAAGTTAATAAAATTCTTTCAGTTGTAACATGAGACTGTGAAGACCAACGAGCACCAAGAAACGAATGAAAATGTAATGTCAAACCGAGAGTGTACACACGCATGTAAACTGTCACGCGAAACACAGGCTAGCTTGTCAATGTGGACCAAACCTGTATAAGATCGTAGTTTTCCCAGCTCCGTCCAGGCCAAGAATTAAAATTCTCATTTCCCGGCTGCCAAGCAAATTACGAAAATAACTGAGTAATCCTCCTGAAAAGAACGAGAGCATCAATATCGTCGGCAAACGGTCGAGGGATTGAAGCTGTCGGCCGATTAACCCAGTATTTGTATTCGCTTCAGGGATTCGGCGATTTCGGTAATGGGAACCGATGAAAACACATCGTACGACTCACCCATATTGGTAACGTGTTATTTCCAATTCATATAGTACAAATTAAAGTTTATTGTCAAATATAATAATCAGATTCGCGTACAAGTAACCGGGGCTGCACACCCCCTTTAACTGTCCACAGATACAGTCCACTTTGGATCACTTGCTGACTTGTATCGTTCTTCCAACATACGTGAAGTTTGTAGCTGTTCTTCTGCCTTCGATATACCAACCGGACCCACGAATCACTGTGTTCAGAACGATCTCCGTGCAACCTGTTTCCCGAGTAAACATACAGTTTCTATTCCATCGTCGGTTCTTTCAATGTTATCTCATTATGCTGGCTACAGTTCATTATACATTTAGAATTAACGAAAGCAATTAGCAAGGTACAAAATTCAATGGGACTTGGTACAGTTGTAAATTGTATTTAAGTAAAACCGTTGATACAAGACGGTACACTTTAATCAATTTCTGTATATTCACCTATGCAAATGTAAATTTACATTGTTTATCTGTCGTAGATTGTTAGGTGTACTTTAGACTCATTTTCTCTGGGATATTTGCTATGAAATTCGATTTATTTATTTATTTATATGAACCTCGTGTACAGAATGATATTTCACTTGCAGAATCACATCTCCCAGTCATTCTCCCGCCTCGTTAACGCCCGATGCAATTAAACACCTGAGTTGACAAACTGATAAGAAAACTGTGGACTTAGTGCATTCCTTGCATACTTTCTTCATGAGATTCGGTATATTTTTCCTTCTATTTAGAATCTGCGTCATCAACATCATCAATATCTCATTCCATCTCCGTTATAAATTGAATCATCAACCTTGCATCTCTAAACATTCGCAGTCCAATTGTAACATTATTTATTAATTAATTCGCAGATTGTAAACATTCATTGGACTCCTACATCACGTTAAGGTAGAAATATATAAATTCTAAATTTCAAAATTTTAACGTTAACCCTAGAACTACCGAGTACTTAAACTGACTTTTGAAAACGTCTCCCTGAGAGCCACAAGTGTGTAATCATGAATTTAATTGTCTCATATATCAATTTGGGTATTACTAAATCAGTTTCCTCAATGATTTCTCAAACAAGTATCCATGTCTTTTCAATAATTCCAAAAGAAATCAGGAATGGACCATTTCGACCCATCTGATAGTGTTAAAATAGATTTGTCGGTAATTTACACTGTAGATAACGATTTCAGGTATCCAAGATGTTCACCGAGTCACCAAATGACGGCGCTATCATCGGGTTCCCCAAGTTCGTCCTCGCACAACAGGTTCTTTTTTTGTAGACTGGACCAAAAGTGTTCTGCTGGGATGCTGCACAAACTTTCTTCGTGAGAGCCACAAGTGTGTACTTATTATGATCTCAATTATCTTACACATCAATCTAGACATTCCTAAATCAATTTCCACAATAATTTCTCAAACAAGTATCCATGCCTTTTCAATAATTCTAAAAGAAATCAGGAATGGGTCATTTTGACCCATCTGGTAGTTGCACAAACTTCATGAAAACAAGTGTATAATTATAATTTCAATTATCTTTACATCAATTTAAATATTACTAAATCAATTCCCCAATAATTCCTCAAGTATCCATACATTTTCGATAATTCTAAAAGAAATCAGGAATTTTAACCCATCCGGTAGTCCTAGTATTAAATTTGTTTATCGATAATGTACACTGTCGATAACGATTTCAGGTGTCCAAGATGTTCACCGAGTCACCAAACGACGGCGCTGTCATCGGATTCCCCAAGTTCGTCCCTCGCACAACAGGTTCTTTTTTTGTAGACTGGACCGAAAGTGGTTCTGCTGGGATGCTGCACAAACGCGGCGCCTGTGTTGCCAGTAATTGACAGCTGCCGAAAAGCGGCGACTCGGTGGACGTGTGCGCGGATATTTTGTTCTGGCCAGTGGACGGTCCGGTGGCGAGGTTCGCGCGCAAGTATCTTTCAAAAGGGAAACGCGGCGAGCGAGCCGTTCCTCGTATTTGGTGCCGCGCGACGTGGTATATCTCCGCGGTCCCGATGCATTATGTATTTACGGCGACATCGTCGTACGCGGGGCATCGTTTAAAAAGACCCTGTGTGTTTACAGTTCCGTGGGACGTTGTGGTGCGCTTTTCGACGCGGTCATGTAATACTTTCGTTCCCCGGGGCCCAGCGTTCTCATCCTGAACCGGACGAATAAGTGTGCAACAGGATGCGTGCCCGCCGCTGAATCAGGGAGTGAAGTTTTCTGTTAAAAATTACTCCTGTCCAGTGTTCCTCGGGGGACCGTCGCGCCGAGGATCCACATATGTTTGCCCCTACCAACACGTTGAAGGAACTTCGGTAAGTCACGTACTCCTATCCGTGGCCACGGATCACTTACCCTTAAGCGACAGTCTAATTGCGAACGGGACAAGATCGTTCCTCTCGTCCCACCGTGTATAGAATAACAAAAGCGTCCGTGCGACGATTCGTAGGCTCCCGCAGATCTCCGGCGGACGAGCACAGCGGACGGTGTGCGTGTGGATGTGTGCCTATGCGTGTTAGAAAGCTGAAAGAGCCCGATAGACTGGGACCGTTCCGAAAGTTCGCGCACCGCGGCTCCTAGTAGCCGGCCGGGAACCGGTTTTCCCGAAAAACCTATTTTTCTCCGGCCCCGCGCCGGGGGTTCGCGTGCGCCCGCGGCCAACGGACGCCTTACAGACGTGTCGTGGCCGCCGGTCCCCGAGGAGGGAAGACAGGCAGCGCGACTCTCCGGGAAATCGTAACGTGCGCCGCGTGAACCTTCCAGGAGGAGCGGATTTCGGCCCCTGGAAGAGGATTTACAGCTAACCGGTTGCCGCGTAGGCAGCACGCTCGCGCGAGACCCTCCGTCTGGATAGATCATGATACTCCGCGTACTTTCGCCCGTACAGTGACGTACACGGGGAGACATTGATAGGGGCCCGGCGTCGAGTGTCGCCCGGCTGGATGACGGACGGACACGTCCGGGCCCCGCTGGGAAAATATCGGATACCAGGAACGTCCGAGCCCCTCTCTACTCTTAACCTCCTTCGCACCATGGATGACTGGACGTCTAACGAAACGGTACATGGCGAGAGTCCTCTTCCAGTTCCAATAGACAAAACCGTCAGGAACACAAGGATATCAAATAAGTCTCATGAAATTCCTCGGAGGATCCATCGCTAACAGGACAGAGCCACGCAGCGCGTAACGCGAAGTCCTATTTACCGAGAGCGTTCGAGCGGTCGTAAACACGGTGCCCGATACCATAAAGCTAGCCGAGCGCGTCATACAAATATCGGGCCGCTCGGTGCGGCGCGAGCTTATTAAATCGTCGGCCCGTTTAGTTGCACGGGGCCCGGGACTCCCGTAACGATCTCGTAAATCGCGCTGATCCACGGCCCCTAGGGGACCGTTTACATGTGTCCCGGCGTGGTCTAGCTTTTCGAGAGAGGAGCGCCGCTCGCGGGCACGCCGGCCGTCCGGGCGGGTGCCGCGGAGTGGGGCGGACGGGCGCACCGTGGAAGAGGCGGGCGAGGAGGAGTGGAAGGAGCGGAATTGAAATTTATTTCTTCGTCGCCCCGGTACCGTCGGACCGTTTTCGCGGTGGCCTCTGTACCCCCTTGAAAGAGTTAACGCTCGTGTGATGACGGCCTAAGAGGACAACCTGGTGGGGGTCGGAAGGAGGTCGGTGGTGAGGGTAAAGAGTCGGACGGCGAGAGATAGAGCGGCGGCGAGAGGGGGATGACGCGAGGTTCAAGCGGCAGAGGAGGAGGAGGAGGATGGAA